AAATAAGGACTGGATAAGCACAGATGCAAAATTATGATGTGAAAAGTGATCGTTTTTTTTTCTGAATTGTGACTATCTAGGTCTCACTGCACTCCCTTACCTTCTGTGGGTATGATTTGCCATATTTCCACTTACTCTGTGCATACATTCTCCAGTGTGGTTACCTGTACGGTTATAACAATCTGACTGGTTAAAAGGTTCTAGGAGTAGGTGCTGTGCACTTCTGTTCAATGTATTTCCTGCAGCCCCCTCTTCCACAGCTGCAGTATCAATAATGCAGTATTACACTGAGTTCCAGTTTAAGGAATTAAAAAGCTGAATAGAATGAAGAAACATGGGGAAAATATCTTGAAGCTGAATAAGATTGAAATCACGTCACGCTTGGTAATTCTGAGTTCAGGGGCTCCCTGTGAAACAGATTTCTGAATCAGCTTGTTGCACTCTTGAAAATTCTATGTGCCCCTCAGGTGAAATTTTGAATCTGTGAGAAAAGCTGGGGTGGGCTTCTGAGTAAAGATAAAATGACAGGAGTAAGTTTTTATTTTTTTTTTTTTCTCTGAAATTCACTGGTAATCAACTGTATTGCAGGCCTGTGGTTTAAAAACACATTTTTTTGAGTTCTGAGTCTGGTTTAGGGTCTTTCCACTGCTTTTGTGTTTGGCCCCAGGAAACTAAGCCACTCTCTTCCTGTTCTCAAACAAAATGTGTTGTAGTTATTGTAATCCAGCCAATAATTTAGCTATGCATTGCTTGACTTCTCCACACTTTTCACTGTGGAATATCAAATCAGTTGTGAGACCGCTAGTCAAAATATCCAAGAAAAATGTTTTTTCTGCTTTGTGAGATTTTTTCCCATCCTTATTGATATTATGTTGGAATCTGTGGGAGGTGGGTTACACTGCGAAACAATCATGTAGGATGGTATCTGCCTCCCTTTAACGGCTTGCCGATAAATCTAATCCACTGGCCCATTTTTGTGTCTAATTGAACTATGCATGACAGTGAGACTGATATTGAGGATTCCATTTATTCCCATACAGTAGCTATTTCTACTTTATTTGAAGTAATTACTTTTATTTATTAAATGATTTTCTCTCAGACTGTGCACCTGCTTGTCAATACTCAGTTTGTTCACTGCCTGGCCCTTTAATGGTAATCTCTGATTAGTCAGTATGTTCCCAGCCTTTGGAGATTGTTATGATCTTTTAGAGGGGAAAAAGATGGAGGAGGATTGCAGTTATCTGTAAATAATAAGGCAGGTGGGCTTTTTATGCAAGCTGTGCAAAAAAGAGGTCAGTGATGTAATCAAATGCCAAATATGAGCTGCGTGCCATGATCATTGAACCCTGTAAGGCTAAATATAAATAAGTATGCATTTTGCTGTTACTGTGACTAACACAGCCATAGACTGATTCCATTTTGTTCTGCATGGCTATTTTATCATTAGTTTCATTTGAAAGAGAGAATAGTAAACTAATTTTTATGGTTACACAGTGACATTAAATGGTGAAATTTATGAAAAACTAACAGAAGTAGTGATAAGTATATTATTATTTTTTTTGTAAGCAGGAAAAACAAAACAATTGCTCAGAAAGATCTGTTATAACAAAAGAATATTATCTAAATCTGGCTGCTCTTGTGCTTGCTCATACAGTGTCTAAAGAAAGGTAGGGATTTTATTCATTTAGTTTTGGAAAGAAAGTACTCCTAGAAAAGAGAGTTATAGTGATTTTCTTTTTCCTAACCTAATTTTCAACAAATTTTAGGGATCTATATTTCCCTTTCTTAAAATGAAATAGGAAGTATTTTTCAGGAGATGCAAATTTAAGAGAATATAATGTATAAATCCATAAAATCTGAACATTTCGGAGCCATTCAAAACTGGGTATTCAGAAAGAATCCAACTTTCCTGATTATTCTTCTAGCATAGTTTCCTTTTCAGGTTATTGCTCTCAAACTTCTTTACTGTCACACCTGAATGCTGCCAGACTCTTAGTTGTCTGATTATCCTGTATATTTGCCTGTGCTTGGTGACTGATAAGTACCTATGCTACCTGTCCTTTTCTGCAGGGAAACTAGTGTTCAGAAAGGAGGCTAATGTACATTTGAGTTCCTTTTTCACATGCCTTGCACTTCTACAATATGAGTACATGTATGTGCTTGGACATTATGCTAAAGTTCACTTGAGTGGAAGACAGCATAGATACAGTGGGTTGAAAATGTGATCCTATGTAAGATGCATTGTGTGAAGAATATATGCAGCCTCAGGATGTATTATGGACTCTCAAAGTCAGAGAGGTCTTCGGGAGTCATAGGACAAACAGATCTGCTGAAGAAGTAGGTAGTAATGTCCACCAAGACAGATACTACAAGTGAATAAAGTGTTCTTGGCAGAAATCAGAGAGCACTGACTCTGAGTCCTGCTGAAGTTGGGGGTGAGCTGCTGCTACCAACCATTGCCAGACTGCAAGTTCACATATATCAGGTGAGATGAGTAGTAGGATTTATGCCTTTGGTTGGCTGATTCCTGAGGGAGAGGATGATGGCTGGGTGCTGAAGTGTAAGCTTTCAAATGGAGGACCACCATCTGCAGGTATGCGACAAGAGGCTAGCAACTGGATATCTTGTTATACATGCAGCAAGATACTTGGAAAATGGTAGTTACTAATTATATGATGTTAAACTATTATGTATTAGTTTATTTTTAACAGTTATAAATGTATCTTGAAGAATTTTAACACAGTTTGCTGTTGGTTTTTTTTTGGTCTTTTCAAAAAAGTTCTTTAAACAGCTCCTGTAAAGCATGTTATGATAAAAACTTGCATGTTTAATGCTGAAAGGTAAGAGAATAGAAGTGTCTGGGTCTGAGGAAACTATTCCTTTGCTTTGTGTTCAAATAATCCATGAGCTCCTCTTCCTTTTTAATCTTAATTTATTAGGGTGGTTGGTATTCTATGGCAACCTGAATTTTTTTGCTCTGGGTGAATTTGACTGTAACGACACTGATAAATTTCTTCTCAGACAATGCACTGCTACTGTGAAGTGGTTGCCCAGAGTAGCACCTTCAAACTCAGACAGTCTGCGCTTTTCATGAATTTGGTCGTGTCTGCTGATTTCACTCACTGACTTCTTTTTTTTCCCTCCTATTTGTACTGTAAAGGCAACACATAAGTCTGTTCAATCTGTTCCATTTAAGCCTATTAAAACACTTCTCTGTTGCACTGTCTTGGGCTCTCATTTACACTACAGCAAGGCAAGTTTTCTTTCCAGTTATAATCACTATAGAAGAGCACAGAAAACTGAATTTTAAAATTAAATAGGCCCTTGGTTTTCAAGGTGTCTTGAACATCATTTAAAGAAGTAAAATAATGAAGGACTTGTTTTGACCTGCAGAATCTTCCCCTGATAACAGTGCCTCTCAAGCAGTAAGTAGAGTTTTAGAGTGAAGTCATCTCTAAAATGCACTTTTTATTTGTCCCTTTTCTCTTTCTGTCCCTTCACTGCTTGTTTCCCTCATACACTAGTTATTCATAACCTTTGAGAGTCACTGAGTTATCACAGTCCAGGTGGTAATTCGTCTCTCCCATACACTGCAGAGCAAGGGCAAGCCTCCCTCCTGCATATCTATTTCTTGATTTTTCCAGTTCTTCTCCCACCTGGAGAGGTAGGAGGATTGAGAGAGATTCAGATTGCCCTAGAGTATCTGCCTTTGGCACTTCTCAAGGATGAACTGCCAGATTTCACAAACTTTCCTGCACGATGGGTGGTATCAGTTGCAGAAACAAGTGATGAGCCTGTAACTCACACAGTTGGCTGCTGTGAAATTAAAATGAGCAAAACCAAACAATCCAAGCAGGAAAGCCTTCCACTTTTATTTTATTTGAAAACAAAATTGACTGTCTGCACTGCACAATTTTTTTACTAAGTAAACTAGTAGTGACCCCATTGGCTCAAGCAGGAGTTTGAACCAGTCTCCTCTGTTCCATATGTCCACTTGTGTAACTGAGAAGTGAACAACCAGCACTCAATGTCCAAGTCTGGTCTCCAGCTCGTTTTTCCTGCAGAAGAGCTGCTGAGTTGCTCATTTAAGCCTTCATAGGGCAACCTTGAAGGAAAGATCACATCTCCCATCAACCAGAGAGACTTGAGCTTAAGATCAGAGTCCTGATCTGGAGCTGTGACAAATACAACAGAAAAGAGGCTGCTGCTTTGCTCCTTTGTCTGGAGTGCAGGAACTGGATTGTTTGAAAAACAGTATTTCATTGCATCTGTAATAGTTACCTCCCTCAAGTTTTACTGTGTCGAGTATTGTCATGTTAAAAGGCTATGGACTTTCCACTATTTATTTATTTTTTTATTTATTTGCCTTTCTTCTCTGGCCATAAGTCTACTGAGAAAATGGGGGAAAAAAAAAAAAAAAAGCTTTCTTCAGGCTTTAAAGTGTAATTACTTTAGAAATTTCCTTCCTGATTATGATTATATATACTTTTGTGTGTATGTAGGTAGATAAATGAGGCAGATGGTAACAGATAGTTCTGCGAACTGTGATGTTTACTTCCTGCATATTCATGAATTTTTAAAATATTAAACTTCTTTAAGGATCTTAAATTCCATGTTGTACAGTTTGGGGGGGAAATAGAGTTTATTTTGTTCGCTTCTTAGAGTTGTAGAATCACTGTCTTAACAAACATAGCCTAGCCCTGAAGTATTAAGGGTGCCCTTACATTTATGTCTAGGGCTTCCAGAGGTGGTTGCACTGTGCAGGAGCCAGGTTACAACAAGCTCCCATCAAGTGTCCTTTAACTAATGAGTGTGCATCTAGGGAGAGAAAGCTTTGTGTGTCTTTTGTCAGCCTCTGATTTCTCGATTTGGGGTTTTGGGCTGCTGTAATACAAAAGAGAATAGAAGAAGTGACCTCGAATTTATGTATGAATTAAAAATTGTTGGCTTGCAGACTTTGGTAAATGTATACATAGATATGGTTGTTTCTCTGTTTTTAGGAATACACTATAGACATAATTTTTGCCCAAACTTGGTATGACAGTCGTCTAAAATTTAACAGCTCAATGAAGGTGCTTATGCTTAATAGCAATATGGTTGGAAAAATTTGGATTCCAGACACTTTCTTCCGAAACTCAAGGAAATCTGATGCTCACTGGATTACGACTCCAAATCGTTTGCTTCGAATCTGGAGTGATGGAAGAGTATTATACACTCTGAGGTGGGTTTTTAATAACTGGGCAGAAAAAAAAACAAAACTCTTATGACCAAGAATATGGAAATAATGAATATAGATCAAATCCTTGGTATCTCTTTTGTTATGGACTGCAGGAATTTGCAAGGAGTTTACAAAAGGAGAAAATGAAAATATTTGATCATGAAAAACATGAAATTTGTAGTATTGAAACATATTACGTAGATAATTGGGTAAAGAGAACTGAAGAGGTTAGCAAATTTTGATCTCATTTAGGCAAGGTTAAAAAAAGATGTTACATAGCATGTAGCACTGTGGTGGTCTGTCACTAACGTATTGCAGATCTAGCAATAAATTATTTTGCAGACTTTCTATTCTAAATAGTTCAGTATCTAACTTTCACCAAATTATATTCTGTAAGCAAAATATGAAATGCTTCACATAATAAAACTCATAAGACATTTGATTAAAGCTAAAGCCCCAGTCCTGCATAGGCTTTTTAATATGTTTTCCCTTGCAAGCTATTAAAATCAAGAAATTTGTTCATCTAAATTGGGCATAAGCAAACATGTTGATGATAATTCTTTCTGGTAAATGGGAGATCTTGGGCTGGCTTTAAGTTTCGTGTCACTTTTCAAATAGTTCTTGAAAGACTGCAGTCTACAGAAAGCATTTTAGGGTCATCTCTTGATTTTGAGTATGCCTAAAAAATGTTGCTATAGATTAGGAGCTGATCGGGAAGCAGTCCATGCAGAGGGTGCTCTAAATCTGATTCTGCTCTTGAGAGTTTGCTTATTTAAAACAAAAAGTAGCACCCTTTAATTACTTTTCAGTCATTCATGTTTTTTTCATAAGCAAGCTAATTGTGTTGTATGAACAATTTATAGAAGTCTCCTCTATCAGAAGTAAGAAGAACAAGAATGTTTTGAAAGGATTCTCCTCACTGAATTTTTTCTTAGTGTGCTTCATTTCAGAGTATACAAATATATCTGAAGAGCACTTTTTAAACAGTTTATTATACTGGTGTTTATAAAAATCTCTAGAGAGCCTCTTTGTTAACACGCTAATGTGTTTTTTTCCTTTTGTAGCTGACATACTTGGACTTTACTTTTCCATTGTGCATTCAGTTTCAGGGTACAATTTCTTTTAAATGGGGTCTAAGTAACACAAAGAAACAAACGCAACCAAAAAAAAAAAAAAAACCCAAACCAAACACCCCTAGTGAGCTTTCCCAGAGTAATAGGTTAGAATTAATGTTCTAGAGTGTGAGCTATGAAGTGCAGTGAGCTAGTAATAAACTAGCAGAGCAGGTATTCATCCAGCACTGCAGCATGCAAACATCTGTATAGGTGAGGATATAGCCTGAATTTGGCCTCAGGTAGAATATCATTGAAAGGTTCATATGTTGGTTATTGAAGGAACAATAATAGGATCTGACAGTGTTCCAGGTTGACGGGCTCCCCTGTACCATGATCTATCCATTGCATCCATTAATCCAGTGATTCCAAATCTAGTTGTGTTGCTTTTAGTAAAAGTCTGGTTTTGTTTTCTTTTTCTTTAAGCATTTGACTATCCAAAAGTTGAAAATGGAAAACAAAGGCAATAAATGTAGTAAAAAAATACTGTATTTTGAAAAGCATCTACAGAGGAATGCAACCCTTTTGCCTAGAGATGAGGGGATGTTCGCTAACTTCCCATCCCCCTTATAAACCTCTCTCTTGGTCAAGATGAATTTCTAGGAAGGTCTAGTGACACTTTGTGTAGAATAACTGCTTTGTTCACAGACTTCTAGAGCTTTCTGGCACCGTGTGGCAGAATTTTCCTCTCCCCATCCCTTTTTGTTCAGTATGTAAGTATTGCATACAGTCAAGTATGTAAGTATTATATTAATTTTCAAAGTTGATTTTGGAAGACATTCTGACTTTCTTCATAGTGTTACCAACAGGAGGTATTTTAAATACAAAGAAAGCAGTTTGGAGTCTGGCCCCTTACTCTAGCTTCCTAGTGAAAGTTAGCAGAACTGGGTTTTGCATTGGTTGCTTAGAAGCTCTTCAGGAATCTGTGATAATATTTTCAAAAGTAGCAAGTGATTCAGTTGATACCATTACATTCCTAAATTACTTCTAAAACATATATTAGTTGCATGAATGCAACTAACTACTTGATGCCTTAGACATTAGATGAGTAGAAATACGGAAGTCTGCTCTTTCATATCCAAGCTACTGCCTTTGCCACTAATATAGAACAAGGCCAAGAATGTCCTCACTTTCCTCTCACGTATATCTATCTATCTACCTGATAGAATGATACCAAATGCAGTTTGACTTGAAAAATGCATTCTTGAGAAAATTCATTTTTTTTGCTGTCATAAACTTCCCCTCCTTGCCCTGCCTTCAGTCCCTCCCTATTTTATCCCCTATTTCTGGTAGGCAGCTGAAGGATTCCCCCAAATCAACTGAAATTTTTTTTAAATGGCTTGAAATGGAAATTGGAACAATGCTTGTCCTCAGGTTGCATATCACGATAATTTTTGTTCCTTGGCAGTGATGATGGATGCTTTTGCAGATACACAGTTGGCTATGTGTAACATTCATTAATTGACAAAACTGATTTCTGTGCATGTGCTTTACTATCTAGTCTGGAGTGTCTGGATGCTTGAATGTAATCCTTTTTTTTTTTTTTTTTAATTAGGCTGACAATTAATGCTGAATGTTATCTTCAGCTTCATAATTTTCCTATGGATGAACACTCCTGTCCACTGGAGTTTTCAAGCTGTAGGTGGTAAAATACATTTTTGTTGGTTTTGGGTTGGGCTTTTTTTTTCTCCTTTACATTCAGGCGTTAAATTTCCTTAAATCCCAGCAGCAATAGAGCAAGGGTTGACTTTTTAAAGCCTTGTAATGAAAAATAGAACTGACCTATTTTATTTTTTTTTTCATTAGATTTACTGCATTATTTACTGCATTATTAAATGCAGTAATGAATGAGTTGAATTTCATGCATTTCATTTAGGTGCAACTTTAAAAATAATCTTATTGCTTAAGAGTCTGATGCAGTGCCCCTTCCAGTTAATGGAAATCTATTGCCCTGGAAGAACTTTATTTTTTATGCCTGCCAGACTTGCCAGCTTTGAATTAGTTCCATGTGGTATACTTAAAAGGAAAAATAAGATCTGTCTTCTTCAACTTTTTCCTGTAAATGCTTAATCGGTATAAGAAGTCCTCCTTTGAGTGGGACTTACTTATGTGAGCAAGAAACACAACTTTCAGGATTAATTTCTTTAGTATAAACTATATTAAAAAAAAATTAAATCTAAGGGGATTGTGCTATTATTGGCAAAAGAAACCCAAACCACCTGAAGACAGCTAAATGACTTATTCCTAAATGTGAAACCTAATAGACAATGAAATCAAACTTGAGTAATTCTTTTTAAATTAATGTTTTCATTTAATACTTTCTTCTTGAGTGCTTCCAGCTAAATGAGCTAAATAAAGGCCATTGATTAAGTAGTTGTGCAACACAGGCTAGTCTCCCTTAATTTCATTTCTGCCTTTCTGCAAGATAATGTGGGGTAACATGTGAGGCATGTGAAAATCAAGAAGGTTGCACTTCCTTAAAGCTGAAGTACTGGGTAATGAATCAGGCCACAGACTTCCATTCTGAGAGCAATAGGCAAAGAATAAACATTAGTAGGACTTTTATAAACATATGTACTCAAGCTCTTTGTGTTCTTTGAATGATAATGTATATTACATTTTTATATTAATTCATAGTAATGATTCTGAGCCAGTTTTTCTATCTGAGTTCTAGAATATCATTTAGATACTTACTAAATGTTTGTATTTACATAGTTTTTGATAGCTCATATATTTCTAGCTAGGCTTACTACTGAGGATAGATGTTTTGTGGTTAAATTTTACATGTATCAGGTGGTTTGTATATTGTCTTTCTGTCTGATCCACTTTATGTATAGCCCTGGTTTTCAAACAGTTTAAAAAGTTTTTAAACAGCTTCAGAGATTACAAAATACGTGTTGGTATACACTGTGGCTGAATGCTTGATTTGTTCTGTTTTATCCTAGATGGATATCCCAGAAATGAAATTGAATACAAATGGAAGAAAACCTCTGTTGAAGTGGCGGATCCAAAATACTGGAGATTGTATCAGTTTGCATTTGTAGGGTTACGAAATACAACTGAAATTTCTCATACCTTGTCTGGTAAGGCAAAGTGTTGAATGTTATTTCACGTAATATGTGTGTAAAACAAGACTAACAGATGAAGATGGAATTGAAAACCATTCTTAGTGTCATGTATTTTTTTTCCTAATTTATAGGTGATTATATTATTATGACAATCTTCTTTGATCTCAGCAGACGAATGGGGTATTTTACTATTCAGACGTACATTCCTTGCATACTCACAGTTGTTCTTTCATGGGTCTCATTTTGGATCAATAAGGATGCAGTTCCTGCAAGAACTTCTCTCGGTAAGAACGTATGTTTTCAACCTTGAAGGGTCTGGCACTCTTCAGGAATACAAACCAGCAGCAGGGAATAAATTGAACACAGTTTATTTCCCTTCACATTGTGACCATCGGTCACCCTTTCTCTTGAACTGCAGGATTAAGAGTAAAAGGATCCTGCTGTGGTTGCACCATAGGGCTTAAGGAGGGAGTATTGAGAATGGAAATCCGGAAATCCTGAACCAAGCCTTGTGGATGTGGTGGTGCTCATACACATACATTTTCCTCTCCTTTCTGTTCTTTTTGTCATCTCTAGGGACTTGCAATATGGCAATCATTAGTCTGACAAGTATGATTAAACTTCACTTAGCATCATGGAACAAAGGATGTCATAGCTACACAAGCAGTAACCATGAAGGTTTTGTTCTTTTTCAACTTTTTTTGTTGGTTTTTTTTTTTTTTTGTTTGTTTGTTTGTTGGGGCTTTTTTTGGTGGTGTTGATGTTGGGTTTTTTAATAACAGAAATGTTTCAGTTGTTCTTCTAAGTCCATGGTAGGACAGAAAATTTGCAACCAAATTTGCACTTCAAGCAGTTAAGCATATAACTGAAAAAAACTTGAATCACTGTCCTGTTTTTACTACAGATAGCAATGAAGTGTGTTGCAAGTTCTGCTACAGAGATAATTCTGTGGTAGTGTCTTCTGACATGTTTAACATGGTGCCAGTCTCCTACATTTGACTTGAGGATTCATGTGCTGCCTTGGAGAAAAGTCATACTCCCCACATAGAGAATGCTAGACGATGCGTGGAGTGCAAGGACGCACAATTACAACTTTGAGGTTAGAAGTGATAGGTGTTTTTAGTAAAACTGGTGATGGAGGTATGACCTGTTCTGGGAGAAAGATTAAGAGCTAAGAGTGTGTCTTAGAAAGTGAGAGATGTGTGTTACTTTTTCTCAACATATTATAGGATTGTGAACACACCATTCCCACTTATTAGGAATACTTCCTATCAGAAGAGTGTGTCCAGGTTTTAACTCCCTGACTTTCCCACTGAAACTCGACCACTTGCAGTCAAGCCTGCAAGATTAACTAGTCAAGCAAGAAAGTAAGCAAAATAGTTTAGCCTAATGAAAAGGTAAGGGGAAAAAAAATTGGAGTCTTGGTTCTTTATGCTATTTATAGGTACTGCAAAGTTTAGCGAAGAGAGCCTAAAATCTTGCGTAAATAAGTTGAAACAATCAAAAAATAGTTTCAGATCTTAAGTTTTTCAATGTATCATAAGATTTCTTTGACTAATCATTGAACATCACTGTGTGCACCATCTGAAATACACTAGCTATAACAGGAAAAATTGTATTGGTATTCTGTGAGTTCTGTATCCAGTTTGGTCTCTTTACAGAGGGGTGGGGTTTTTTTTTCAATGCCACAAATCTTGCAAATTTGCCTTTAATCTCATGGTTAAGAGAGTTTTCATGCTCCCCCTTAAGAAGTACTAACCTTTATCTGAGATGTACTACAAATGTTTGCAAGATTTTATTTGCAGCTCCCTGCAGTTAACTCTGAGTTCGTATTGTATGAACATGCAGAAGCCATTGTTTGACAGATTGCAGGATGACTTTTCTCACATGCAGATGTTCTGGTGGAGAAGAGAATACCAGACAAAGCAATTTTATGGGAAATAATGATAAATTAAGACAAGAAAACCAAAACTAAGTCATGGCAAACAGTTGTGATGCCGAGGTCCTTGTGACAGACCTCTGTGTGCCTTTTGAATAGCAGAGAGGACTGGGAAAATCCAGGTGTCCTTTTATCTTCTCTGAACAGAGGTCAGTCAGGGGAATGCTGTGTGTGACTTCTTGCCTGGAGGCTGTGATGGGGTGTGGTATGCTGAAAGGGCTTGGGCCTTTTTCTTCTATTTATGTTGAAAGATCGTGGCAGTTTGTGGTTTCCCAAAGCAAAAAGGTTTGAGACAGTTAAAGATATTTAAATGTTTAACTACATGGAGAAATGCCTAATTGATTTTCAAAAGCATCTAGTGGGAGCCAAGCACTTTTAGAAAACTCTGTGTATATCTGTTTGCCCTTTTAGGCACACTATTTCATTGGGAAATCTGTTGTAAAATCACCACTGCTTTCCTGCTGTGGTATCAGTCCATAGTGACCCTGATTCCATGCTTTGATTGAAACGCCACAGACAGCCTTAGACTGGTGTAACACATTTTTTGCAATAAGTCTGTGCATGTAAATAATGAATTATTTCTGTGTTCAAGTATTGCTTTCTGAAGGAAAGGTCACATCTTAATTTTTGGGACTACTGTGAAAAAGGCTTTGCTTCTCTCTGAAGCATCAAAGATAATCAAAAGTGTTAACAACTTCTAAATGTTAAACCAGCGAAGAAGAGCGGTGTAGTTGAGATTCTGAACACATCTCTATTAAGGCCAGCTTGTTCTTTTAATTAACTTGTATGTAAGTGAATCAAGGGAAATGTTTTCTATTACTTAGGACACAGTATTGAAAAAACCCTAGTAACTTTAAGAATGAGACCGGAAAGGCCATGAAGGTCATCTAGTTTCATATGCAACATGTCAGAAGCAAACAGTTGAAAGTGTTATTCCTTTTCCTTGTATTTTCTGAAAGTTTGAAATCATTGATAAATAATACACCTTTTTTTTTTTTCTGAATGTGTCCTTTTGTACATTTTAATCTTTCAAGAACCAAAGGACTTTTTTTGTATTAATAAAATTTGTGTGCTTATTTTACCTGTTTGTCTATTGTATTTGTTTTATGTGCACATTCTTTAACAGATTTATGAAATTACACAAACTTTCTCAGTGTCATTGTTTAATGAATGTGTTTGGAAAACAGGAGGGATTTAAACTGAAGGTGAGATGTGCTGCCTTCTGTATGATCCCATGGTGGCTGCTGGATCCATAGGGGTGGCTTCATGCAATAGCACCGTTGTGTTTGGCAGTGACCCCTGCTGTGGCTCAGTTATTATATTAATGAAATAAGGGGAAATTTGAGGATTTTTTGTTACAATATAATTGGATCATTTATACACTTCCCTCTTCTCATCTTTTTTTTTCTTTCTTTCTTTCTCAAACAGGCATTACAACAGTGCTGACCATGACAACACTGAGTACAATTGCAAGGAAGTCACTCCCGAAGGTTTCCTATGTGACAGCAATGGACCTTTTTGTTTCAGTTTGCTTCATTTTTGTGTTTGCTGCCTTGATGGAATATGGCACATTGCATTACTTCACCAGCAACAGAAAAGGAGACAAAGGAAAAGAAAGGAAGACAAAGTCTAAGCCATCAGTAAGTTTAAAAAAAAACAGAAAAAATAAAAAAGTCACAGAATGCTGTTTACTGTGGCACTAATTCTGACAGACTGTTCTTAAATAAAAGGGCTAATGTTCAAACATAATTAACACTTTTTTTGGTCTTTTTTTTTTACAGTTGGTAGGTTGTACTAATTTTGTGTAAATACTAATAACGAACAAAGGTTTTGGATCATTCTGCTCATAAGCCTAAGCTAGAGAGTGGTTTGCTATAATATTCTGTGCTTCCATGCCCAAACCCTATTAATCTTCTTATGAGGTGTGTGCCTATGGAGACAGTTCTGTCTGGCACAGTGCTTCTGAAAACAGCACCTGAGAGAGAACCATAGATAAGACAGTAGCAATAGAGATAATGTAAATGGACTGGAGGTGTGAAGATTTGTTTGGATTCACATCATGTAACTTGGTTCTTACCTCGCTAGCTTTTCAACATAAAACATGCTTATTACTGGTCAGTATTCTGACACCCTTCCACTTCAGAAATCTACCTTAACTCCATTTTTTTTTTTTTTGGGGGGGGGGTGTGTTTGTTTGGGGTTTTGTTTGTTTGTTTGGTTTGTTTTGTTTATTTGTTTTGTTAGTTGTTTTGTTTTTTCCCTCCTCTTTCTTTTTCACTTCCATATTTGTTTCTGGTGAAATGAACCTTCTGTTTTTACAGGTTGATGTTTGAATCCCTACATATCTCAGGAACAAGTATTATTACAAGTATAATGTATTGAAATATATATTTTAAGAAGCCTTCTCTTCATGTCGTGAGAACACTGGAACTTCCAAGACTCTATTGTTGGAAGCCAGTACAAATATTTAAAGCTAATCTTTAATAAAATATTCAGGTAAAACTTTTAAATAGTTTATTCATTCAAACACTAGTCAATATCTGAGGCTTGACTGTAGTCATCTTTTGGAGAGAATAAGAAGAAGAATGTTATTATAAAGCCCCCTTCCAGATAATTTCATCAAAGGAAGCTGAAGAATAGCTGAATCATAATATCAGTTGTCTTTTCTGACTGAAGGCTGTGTAAGATGAAAGAGAAATTAAAATTAAATTAGAGAAGTCCAGATACACAAATGCAGAAATCCTGTTGCAGCCCATATTCCTTCTGCAACTAGTGTCAAAAAGCACAGGTGCACCAATTTTGAGCAGCAGGTCTGTGGGAGACTATCTTATGGGGGCACTGCAGGGCTGCTATGGCTTAATACCAGCAAAATGAGAGCCCTTGTGTTTAATATGATGACCTGGTCTGAGTGGATCAGATGTGTCTTTGCAGCAAGGCTAGTGGTGAAGGGTTAATACTGCCCTGTGCAGCCTTAGTCAAGCATCACTGTGATCCTCAGGGAATCCAACACAGCTACAATAACAGGAAAATAGAAACTTCAAACTTCCCTGTTAGTGGTAGAAGTGAATGTGGGCACAATGGAAGGCATAGGAAAACATAGACTTTGGCAAGAGCCACAGTTGAACAATGAAGGTAAAAGATAACAGAGACTGCAGAAATTTGGGGAACTTCCAATGTTTGCACAGCAGATTCAATTTTAGGTTGCTGTTGCAATGAGGTCTCAACAACACTTAGGGAAGAGGAAGCTGAAAAAAGCCTGCTCTCAGCATGTGCAACAAGGAGAAAAGAGGGGAGAAAATACTACTTATTCAAACCAAGGAGCTATTAAACATCAGCTGCTGGTAGATCAAAAGCCATTGAAGTGGTTTGCAAGTATACTCTACTGAATGGAGTAACAAGACTTTCCAGAATCTCTTCACACATCAGCTGTTTATGCAATAATCTACCAAATGTCTTGAGATTTTCAGTGCATGTCACAATTTAAAATGTATGAAAATGGGGAGATAGAAATTATGACATCTGTTGACTAAGATTAAAATTGACAATGTAGTATTCCAAACACAATTTGATTGTGGTTTAGTGTCTTCTTAAAGTGTGCTTGTTGCTTTTAGGTAGTTGAAAACCAGCTATGTTTTCACACAGAATTCTTTAAACGTGTTTCACCATAAGACCATACTATTAAGAGATTGCTCTAAAAACCAGGGCAATTAATATACTTAGACACAAGGATCCTCATTTTATAAATAGGGTTTTTTTTTGTGATATTTTGTAAAAAGCTATAAAATTTTTTGTTCTAACTAGAACAATTAAAGAAGCTATCTCATTAATTAATAAGTCATACAACTACAAATCCTTTCCCTCCCCTCCTTTTTTTTTCCCCTGTTTGTCAAAGACTTCTATTCATTCTTTTTCTCTTGTAGTTATGGGTATGTAACTCAAAATCCCAATTTAATTAAAATAGTTTAATTCCTCCTGAAAAGTTCTCATTTACTGGTGTTTTTTTCCCTTGGAAAACTTGCCTTACATTGGTCATCTATTTCTATTGCAAAATGCAATAAAAGCTTATTATTCCATGATCTGATAGCAATAAGGTTCAGTAAATGATCTTGTGAAAAAATTGTGAGATTTTACAAATGATTACAGCAGTTTTATCTTACAAAATATGTGCTGGCATAATTCAAAAGAGGTAGTAGGAACTGGCTTATGTAAATCCACATTAGTAAGGATAATGAGTTTGGGCAGGAAAGATTAAACTTAATTAGTTGCGGATTTTGTTCTGATCATCATTTCACTTGAAGTGAATGCATCACCTATGCTATAATTCAACAGATGATGGCTTTCTTTTGTACATCTGTTAGTGTTAGCACAAAATAATTTGGGTTTGGTCCTATCAAATGTATTATAAATGCTTCTCACTCTATGTGGAATTTTATCTACACTATTAGTAGGTACGTACATGAACAATCAACATGTACTACTGTATCTACACCTTTGTTGCTTTTTTTTTTTTTTAAGTCTCTGCAAATTGATACAAGTCATTTTCTTGTGAGGTTTTGGTGTTTTTTCCCCTTTCTCATCACGCTGTCCCTTTCTTGCACATTTTATGTATTCCCTTGAAGTGGTTAGGCCTATAAGATGACGCTATGTTTCTGCCTCTCTCAGGCCACCTCTTCAAACCTATAATGTAGTAGCCAGCTTTGGTCTGTGCCGGTGACATGAGCGATTAAAAGCAGAACTGTTATTTTTCCTCCTTTTATGGTGTTTCTGACTTGGGGATTCCTGGTTTACTCCATTAGTAGAAATGAATCATGCTACAAATCTTACATTAGCAGAACCAACAGTCAGAAAATTATTGTAAAACCAGAGTAGGCTTTACAATTATAAGCATCATTTTCCCTCCGTATTATCAACAAAAGAATGATTTTGTAAGTTTAAAAAAAAATTGAACTTACTTTTCATATCTTGTAAAAATAAGACCTGTTTGTAATACCCTAAATTAGGATAGAAGCATGTAACTGCTGTTTGTGGTTATTCTCGGTATTTTAGCATAACTGAAAAGAATAATGAAGTTCTTTAGCATGATAATTAGCTCCCTAGGTCATCATGTCTAAAAAGTATTGAAACAGCAGCCTGTGTGAAGCTTCCTGTGGTAAAGACACTTATTAAACAAAGCTATTAAAAAATGCTGTGCACCCTGCACTGCTTTAAAACATCACCCCTTGGGACACAGGGTGAAACGCCCCTTCAGCAACAGAATGCCTCCTTAACAATGCATAGAGATCTGTGTGCTGGCCCGAGTAATTCCATGGGAGTGTGACAACAGGATTCTAAAATATAACAAGAATTGAAATTATGTGGCTTCACGCTTTTCATATTTTTTCATATTTTCTTCACTGCCTGTCATGTATAATTGTTTAAGAGAGATTCTTCTCTACACTTAAATACCTAGCTAGTTCTTCTGACTACATCCTTTCCTGCTACATTTATTCCTAACATGACAAAATATGGAGATGGTAGAAAAGAGAGAAGACAATGTAAGAGTAGTGTTGATGTAAATTCTGTCTTCCATCTGAGATTTTGGAAGAGATGCCAAAGGTGGGGGGAGTTCAAAGAAAGAGGATATGGATTAGTTTAAAAAGGCTATAAGATTTAGAAAGGCAAAAAGGACAGCTAGTGAAATAGAATGTATTTTGAAATATTCAGGTGCACAAGCATGAAGAGTGAAGAACTGCAAGGAAACAAAACAGAAAAAGGGAAAAGATGGGCTGTGGTTGTGCGAGTAAAAGGATGGTGAAAAGACAAAAGTCACAAGAAAGGGAATAGCAAACAATATATGTGCTAGGCCATAAGGCACCCATATTTTTTCCATGAAAATTATTTATGGAACTTAACATCTATTACACCAAGTTTTTACCAGATTGAAAGAAGAGTTATTTTTAAGGAAAGTAAAAGTAAGATTTAAGATCTAAATTAATCAGCTTAGTGACTCAAATGGCGTTCTCCTAAGGATTCTTGTGTCTTAGTTTCTAAAGGCAGGCCATATTGCTTAGGGATTTAACATTAGAGGGTGTTATATAATGTGGCCTGGCCTTGTGTGTCTCTGTTTCTTAAACTTCACCAGTGATGTTGTACTAACTTTATGAGCTGCTTTTTGGTGAAAATGTATCTTCCAGAAACACCTTCACTCTTGTTCAAGACTCCAAATGTTGGGGGAATCGTCATTCCTTTGGTAGTGATGCTTGTAGCCTGCTTGTAGACTTGCTTATTAACCAGTTGTCAAACTGTGGCTAACTTCACAATGTTTTTTTGTGTTGTGTAGATGATGCCCAAGGAGGTTGTGAATGCTCCATCCCTGGCAGTGTTCAAGGCCAGGTTGGATGAGGCCTTGGGTGATATGGTTTAGAGCGAGGTGTCCCTGCCCATGGCAGGGGGATTGGAACTTGATGATCTTGAGGTCCTTTCCAACCCTAACTATCCTGTGACTCTGTAATTCTATGATCAGCTAACCCTGTCTGTGTAACTAATTATCCACTATTGCCAGATCCCAGCACAACCCCCTTTTTATTGTGGCAGGTGAAAAATATTTCATGATCATTTGCCTGCAAAAGCTATACAGGAGTTCATAATTCGCAAAGCTCCCTAAACTGCTTAATATCAGAATTTCTATATAATGCGCTGAAAGTGCTTATATTGGTCTTTGCTAATGGAAAGCCTATGGAGGCTAAAAGTAAGGGGAAATAAAAAAAGAAACAAACCAACCACCTGCAAATTTATATTTTTCTTTTTTGTTTTTCTTAAGAAAGCACCTGCAATTGCTGTTCGACCTGGATCGACACTTATTCCAATTAATAACATTAATCATCTCCCTGAACATGATGATGATTATGGATATGAGTGCCTAGAAGGGAAAGACTGTGCTAGCTTCTTTTGTTGTTTTGAAGACTGCCGCACAGGATCTTGGAGAGAAGGAAGAATACACATCCGCATTGCAAAAATTGACTCCTATTCTCGAATATTCTTTCCAACTGCCTTTGCATTGTTCAATCTCGTTTACTGGATTGGCTATCTTTATCTATAAGTTTCAGAGGTTTGACAAACTCAGAAAAAAATTGTGATTTGAACAGTCAGTAACACTTTAAAGTGAGCAGTCAGAGATTAGAGCTTGTCCAAAATGACTCACATTGTTTGGATACTTAAAATATTTGAAACAATGAGAGGACATATGGTGATGTGGTCTCCCTCTTGTGATCAACTATAGAACTGATATTGGTATTTTGAAGAGAAAATATAAATATCCCTGAAATTTAGCTTGCCTGAACATGTACATATTTTGTCCAGCTCTAACAAAATGCAGAGTCAAGAGGCTATGTTATTTAACTGGACAGCTCTACATAAGCTTTCAGTTTTCATTCTAAGTGATAATACAGATGAATTTTGTAGCATCTCTTACACCTTTACAAAGAAAGCCTTAACAAAATGGGATTAATTATTCTCATCCATTTCATCCATAAGGTGATGATTTTATTAATCCTTGATTTAAAAAGTTGAAATGGAACATTTCCATTTTTTCAACTAGCCATTTGTTCTCTGCAGTATGTTAAAAAGAGTGATTAAGTCATAATTAATCACAGTCATATTTATACAGAACACAAAGATTAGAGCCGCGAGAAATGGATATATCACTAAAACCCCAAAGGTAATTCTGAGCTTGTCTTATCCTGACTATTGATGTAGGCTTTTGGCTTTCAACCTTAGATTAGATGTATGTCTGTGCTCCATCTGCCGTTACTTTTCTGTTGTGATTACCCCAAGGTTTTCAAAACTTTCAAAACTTTCAAAAGTTCCTAAAAAGCTGCCATTGTTTGCTCATTTCATGGAAACTGGAATAATGTTGACTGAGATTCCGGCCATTGAGTATAATGCTGTTCACGTTCTCCTCATTCCCTTCTTTGTCTGATTCATACTCAGGGCCAGAGAAAAAGTCATAACTCTACATGTGGTAGAATTTGAATCATCAGAGTTTGGAAAACCTGTATCACTGCTGTGGTTGCACAACAGTATTCAAAGCCACTATGTTAAGTCTCTAGCCCTAGGAGTGTAGTGTGTGACCTGCTTCTCTTTGCATACAGTATGAATCTGTGGATTCTGCTTGTTACTGCATACGCTGCTCCAAAGCCAAAGCCAAACAGTATGAATTAACTGAGTCCGTGTTATAGATTGCCATGTAATTATCTCCTTGATAGTTGTTTGTTTCTAATGGAAAAGCTCTGTTGGGGGTGGGGGCAGTTAAATAATCCTTATGCATTGCTGACCCTTCTCTAAGATGGGACTTCTTCCCACCTAAAATTCTAGGACCAGTTCTCCAGCATTTCTGTGGTCAGAGCTTCTGTTCACTTTGGTAGCAGTCCTTCAGTAGCAGCTTTTCTGGACTGACTTCTCTGTGTTGACTGCTGCTGGCTGACAGCATTTAGTATCTCATTTCTATTTTTAAATACATTGTATTTATCGTGCAAAAGTGCTGTCTTTCCTCCCTTCTCAAAAATAAACTGGTCTCAAGTGAGCTTGCAAAAAATCACTGTAAAATTAAGATATGCATTAAGTAAAAGAATTACACAGAAGACCTTACAGATCTTTAAAGAGGATTAATGGGATTAACATTTGGCTGTAGGTAAGGATGTTCAGTACTGGAAATACAGACATGATTAATGGCTAATAATAGAAACCGATACACTACCCCCCAATATTTCCTTTAGATGTGCTCCATCTGAATTTCTCAGAAAAGATTAGTGTATATTTATATAATAGTTGGTACCAAACATAGTAAGATATGATATGCAATACACATTTCAGATGAAATGTTACTGCAGTGTTCAGTCCCAAAGTAATACAGAGTGCAAGAGTATATGTGTAGTGATTCTGGAAGAAAGTATGGCAGAGAAGATCCCCAGTATGTTGGATGTGTAGTTGAAAAACAGTCTGCTCACTGTACAATACAAGGCCCAGATTTTGTGAGCTCCCGAGTTTCATTAATTCACCTTTAAACAAAAGGAACTTCAAAGAACTTGGCACCTCACAAGAGGAAATACAAATTTTACAGCCTGCTCTCCTCTGGCAGATCTAGTTAGATTTTTCTGTTCATGTAGTTGTCAGTTGCCAGTCAGCTTCCAGTGACTGGAGATCTGAAAACATCCAGAATTGGCAAGGGATAGATAAAAAGTTTTTCATCTCTCATTTCTATGGAACAATGTAACGGAGTATTAAACCTACTGAACATTACGGCTGTTTGGCTTATGGATATACTTGCTTCTGTCTGTTGACAAACTTTTCTGTGTACTTCATTTGTTTCTGATAAAATAATTTTAGTTTCCCATAGTACTGTGAGTGCAAGTAGAAATGGGAATATAGTGAACTGTAACATGGCATGTAATAAATGCGTTATTTTAGTATTATGTGTTTTCTTTCTAATTGCATGTGAACACTTCAAGAAATCCAAGTGATACTGAAAAAAATTGCAAGAAACAGACTATACTTACTTGGACTATGTTGTAATCCTTTTTAAAACTTACCTGGATGAAAGTTCATTTACTGATAGCTGGGATCACAGTATTTGGAGTCATATTATTCTGACCATTACTGATTGAGCACATGCTTAAGCTGATTCCTAATCAGTACTGTAATTAGACCAGAATTCAGAAAAGCATGTGCTTATGTACTGTCATAAAGAGCGATGCTATCCTGAATTGATGCCATTAACACATGCTTAATTTGCACTAATTTCAATAATGAGTGTTCAGTAGCTCAAATGATTGAACACTAAGGATGCGAGGCAGAGCCTCTTCAATAAGTTTTCTCACTGAAAGAGAGGGACATAAGATGAGAAATTGCCTTACAGGCAGAGAGGTTGAAAAGTCGGGGGAATCTGTTTTATGGTGCACCTATATAAGCATCTTCTGAAATTTATTTTTCAAAAAAGAGACTTTTCCTTGATATTTCTATATTAGTGTTCACCACTTGTCTGGTTTAGTAGTGAGTGCAGCTCAGTGTGTTATTTTTGGCAAGGTTTTGTCTGTGATTGTACCTCACTGATCTTCAGTGCATGTCTTCTGTGTCTGAATGAATCTGTTTTATGTAGTGGCAGTGCAAGCAAAGCATGAGCTCTGAGCAATGTATTTTATATTCACATGTTGATGTGCTTCAAAGGCTTTAACCACATCTGATTTTCTGACATTCAGAGACATAGGATTGTGCAAGGCTTTGAAGGAGAATCACCTGCAATATGGTTTTTATAATTTTCTGTTTCTTATTTGCTATGGTAATAAAAGATTTGTTTAAAATTGGTATATGAACTATGCTTTGTAATTTGTGAACACCTTTGACCTTTCAATTGAAAGCCAACAGGAGGAGTCTGGATTTAAATATCTGTCTGCGTGAAGTAAGGTACGCTGTGTTTATGTGCATCAGTCATCAATTCAGTTTACTGTTTCCAAATACCTGAGAATTAATGCAAATACATCTTTTTTTTTTCTTTTTTTTAAATTATTGTCAATAATTCTTAATTCATTGTAGTTTCTCTCACTTATACATTGAAAATGATCTTTAATGTTTGTGAAATAATAATGTATTTTTTAGTCATTGTAACAGATACTGAAAATAGAAACTAATGTAGAGTTCCTGAGCTAAAGAATACAAGGCAAGGAGTGAGAAAGAATTACTGTGCTTCTGCTTAGTGAATATCCACATGCTTTGATGAATGTGCTGGGGTGGGGGGGGGAATGACTCATGGGGAGAGGTAGAATATTCTCTAGGCTGTAGAAAATGCCTCTGCATTGGTTCGTGCTAGAAGTTTGCTACCCAAGTGGTTTAAGTCAATGAAAGGAATGGATCTGTCCATCCTTTTTCAGTCGTCTCTTGCTTCTGCCTTACTTGTACCAGCAATGGCAGTTGTAAAGCAATGTTACCAGATTAATCAAAACCTGAAAATTTATCTTTATTTTACTCTTTTGTAAGTTAATATTTCAACCAGATGAGTGGGATCATCTGGCTGAATGTGCAAGACTATGACCAAGCTCTGGTCCAAGAAATGTGATGGGAGCTTACAGCTGGAGCCAGAAGGATGGATTCTTATGATGGCCATTTTTCATTCCATTGTGAATCTGCACTGAAAACTGATGTGGAGGGAAGGGAAAGATGGGGAGGAAATATTGCTGGGGGCAGCGATTCCAGAATCCAGTTACATGGATCTGATTGAGCTATGTTTAGTAAATGGGCTTCTCACTCGTATTTGTGATAATGCACTTTAATTTTTAATTGTCTTTATTTTTTATAAAAAAAAAAAGAATAAGTTAATGTGCATTTACTACACGTTATTTACAGACTGAATGAGCAACACAAAGTTATCTTGAGTGATCATTCTAGTGAAATGTCAGATAAAAACTCAGGTTAAATCAGAAAATGGTTATTTTTTTTCTTCTTTAATTATGAGAAACAATATTTGTTAAAATTACTTAGTATTAGTTAGTACAGTAGACACTGGAAAAGACCTCGTACCGAGGTGTCTACACTGCTCTTAGTCCCCTTGAGGGCTAAACAATTTGGGAATAAAAATCTAACCCAGACTGCATTCAGTCATTAAGTCCCTCTCTCCTCTCAGGAGTGTGAAAGGTGGACCATACCAGGCATGAACTAATACAGCTGGTGTGCTCCAGGGAAGTTGGTACTAGTTTCTAGTTAAAAGGAAGCATGACTTTTGCCTGCAAGACTGTAATTTGAAATAGGATACATGCTTCCCTTCAGAAGGTGGATGTGTGTTGTGACTTCCAGAACAATGGAAAAGCATCCCTGCACTTGATGTTTATCTTTGCACAGGAGCAGTTTCATTGAGTTGGATGTCCTGTTACGAGGCACTGAGACATTCTCTGTGTAGTATAGGGGGAGAGTTTTGATTGTACTCCTGGACAAAGTGTCTAAATCTTGTCACAGAGCTCAGTGTGTGGGTTCTGTGTTGTCTTTTGGATCTGTTATGATGCTAGTGAAAAGGCAGTAAATTTTTTTTTTTTTTTTTTATTTTAGTTACTAGTAAATCTTATTGGGAAAGCCAGAGTGTTAATGAAGGCTTTAGAGGAAATCCCAGAAGCTCGTGGGTGTAGGAGATCAGCTAGCACTGTAAAAGACTGAAGGATCTAGCCCTTTTTTTCATAGGTGAGTCTTGTTGCCCCCTAGCAATATCTTGTTTATAAAAAAAAATTAAAAGTCTCATGGTATTTTAAGGAAAAAAAAAATCTGTAAAATTGCTGGGCAATCCCATTCCACCTTCCAGGGGCAAGTCTTGCTTTGTCTGCAAGTTTTGCTTATGGTAGATCCATGTTACTTCAGCTGTATGAGGAGAGCCACGGGGGACATAAGACAGAAGACGTGTAAACAGTTCTACCACGGTCTTCCGTGGAAGGAAATGAGATTTCTTTTTCTTATTCAAGAAGGGTAGGGGTATAGCGTGTGTAAATTAGGACAATTTTGCTACAGACACCAGGGTCTGAATCCAGCTAGATGACAGGATCAAGAGAGACATGAGTTTGCTTGCAATAATAAGGCTTCTCTTTTGTAATTCTTTTCCATACATCTCTGCATGCCTACCTGAGACTCAAACACTTATTAGGTTGGAAACAATGTTTTTGCTTGTTTCTGGCTTCACAGAGTGATCTTATCAGGGTTTGAACTTTGCTGAATTCAAAAGAAAAGGTTTTCTCTTGCAGCTTCCCTCTCCAGGCATTGCAGGTAGGAGATGTCTTGCTGCCAAGCATTGGAAAAGGGATTTTCAGTTGATCCCACTGAGGAGGCAGACTGGCTCTATAGAGCAACATTAAGATTGCTTTGTCATTTAGACTTAAAAAGGTTGAGAACTTTTAACAACAATGACCAGTACTGCCCCGCAGATGATATATTTATTTTGCCAATTCAATATTTAAAATAAAAACTAAAACCAGCCACTGTGAGTGGGAAGTGAGGATGAGTCATCACTTCATATTTCCCTGGAATTGTTTTTACTCCTTAGAAAATTAGTAAATAAGAATCTTTTGGCTTGTGAGATCTGCAGAAAAGAGTTCATGGTTATTTTAAACAGGTCAAATCATGTTTGCCCCTCATCCCACTGATGCCATAGGAGCAGGAACAATGAGGGTGCTTTCACTATGGCTCAAATTTTCCAAGATAGGTGAATGTGGACATTTGCATATTCATAGGCCTGGTGTAAATATACAATGTGTTCAAGTTTTAGTTACTGAAAAAAAATAATCTTAATGGGTTATGTGATTTCACAGTACCTTTTTGATTTCCCACTGTTGTCTGCTGTGGATGCTTAGAGTTTATATGTGAACGTGAAGAGCTGTGTTATGATACTTACAGGTTAAATTACTATAGAATATAAATACTTCCTTAAATGAAACTGAAGGATCACAATCTGTCAATCTCATGGTGATTACTATCTTGAAAGATCTAGTATTTGTTCTTAATCACTTTTTCTAATTAACTGATATTGCTATGATTCATATTCCCCTTCATTGAAGTTTTATAAACAATTGCAGTGTATGGTCTAAAAACTAAATTTCCAGAAATATCCTTCACTTGTTGATTTATTATGTATCTTAGTATATATTTTGAGGTTCCATTATTCAAATAAGGAAATTCAAAGTCTTAATGCAAATCTCAGCATTTACACTTCACATAGTGTTTCAGTTTGCCCTTTTCTACTGCATCTTTATTTTTTAAAACTGTTTTTAAAAGTGCTGAAATTTTTAACTATGTAAGTGAACATTAATACCATGCATTAAATTTGATAGTGTTTTTGCTCCAGGGGACAATGTTATAATATTATGTTCCTTTTAAAATTATTTATTAAAGCCCTTGAGAGTAACTTGCTGAAAAAAATATGGAACATTAAGAAGTT